GGGAAGCGGCTGAGCCTTGTGTTTCTGATGCCCAACTCCTTCAACAAATGATTTGTCACAGAATGGGGACTCCACCAAACTTGTCAGAAAACTCATTCGTAAAATTTCGTAAATAAGTCCTTTTGATCTCTCGAAACATCGCATTTCGTCGAGACACCTTTTGGGAGAATTCAGGTGTGATGTGCCGGCTTCACTCAAAAAGTTGATGCAACTTTCGGCTTCGGCTTTTCCGAGATGAGTTCAATCTATCACAGAGCACTAAGGAAAGCCCCGATTTTTTGGGAGCCAAAAGCCAAGCTTTCACAGAGTTTGGGGAGGTTGATCTCATGCCAGGTGTGTTGCATTGACATTTGCTGTGTTCTGGTTGCTTTCACCTGAAACAGTGAACTATAGTGAACCCAAAATAACCCAAATCAGTTTCTGGAAAATTCAGGACGAACATATCAGCGGCAATGGCTGATAATTCATATGTAGTTCGTTGCAGTTCATATGTACTTCACACACACACACACGTTAATATGATGCAAACTGCAGATTGGTTGCAAGTCCACAGCATTCCACAGGATTCCATAGGTATCAATCACTGGTCTATCACAGGGCTTTTCTCAGTGGAAGTCATCTCCTCTCGGTGCTGACAGATAGCTGTACCGTCTTCTTGGTCTTCTTGCTCTACGGCACTCTACCGGGTTCCTGCTATGGATCTCTACTGATTTCACACATCTCTATGTGTGCCCTACTGATTTCTGTTTTGGAAATGAAACCGTTGTGGATTTTTTACGGCTAGTAGTAGAATTGGTCATGTTCAACAAAGAAAATGGTGAATTGGGCAACATCATATATGGCCATGTCAGACCATTTGAGTATGTCCAAAATCCGCATATCCAAAATTAGATCTTTTATGTTCGGGCAAGACCCAATCTGGTGCATCGAAAAAAACAGGTTTCAATCCTGGAAACTAACTCATTGCTTGTCAAGCCACGTGGCTGCTCTGGCAGCTCTCTGAAAGCACGCGGAAGGACTTGTCTCGATCTCGAAGATCTCGAATTAAGAACTGTCACCACAATGGGATCAGTTCGACCAAAGCTTGTGCTGGTGGTTCTTTGCTCATCTGCAAGGCAAAGCATGTTATGATATATTCGTGGCCATGTCCATGATGTTGTGTGTTGTGACAATAATTTCTCCCTGCACTATGCTTCCTATTGCGTGTCCTTTGCATCTGTGTTTTTCACGATCTCCGCGTGTATACTTGTGTGTATATGTGCGCAATTTTGTACATGACTCACATAGTTGAAGAATCATTCTTTAAAGTTACGTGTGGAAGATTGAAAGAATTAAAAGTACGTAGAACTAACAGGGTCTCTGCACTTTGAACCACAAAAACACAAGCTTTGAAGAACTAGAGGGGTCTCTCAGTGAGCGGACATTTCGTCTACTACAAGGTGTGAGTTTACCTCAAGGGCGCGGCCTTATCACACCAGCTCAGCCTGAGAGTCAGAATCAGTTCTCTTGCCATCTTTCGTGCAGTCGGCACCAGTCGGCACCAGTCCTGACTTCTACTGACTTCTTCTGACTTCTCTACCCATCCTGACTCCGGTTCACAGGAGGTCAGCCAAGCGAATCGTCGAAGCCCCCGAAGCGGGATTGGTGTAGTTTTGAGGATGAAATCCCTGTGAGCATCCCGAGCCCAGCTGGCAATGACTGGGCGGTTGTGGTGCTGCAGAGATCGGATGCACCTTTTGGTTCACCATGGGCACCAAGGGATCGGCAGCAGCAGCTGCAGCGGACATCAGCCGGTTGGCTGCAGCTGATTGGTGTTGGGACAAAGCTTCCGACTTGGACCAATCGGCATATTCGGCATCATCCTCTGAGCGCTGGTAGAGATTGCGTGGCAAGGACTGAGAGCGGCCCTGACAAGGGGTGCTTGGGGGCATGGGACAATGGATGAAAGTGTTCTGAACGCTGAATTGAGCCACGCCATCTGGCGCCCGGTTGTTACTCCATTTGGGGAAGCCGGGAGTATCTGGGGTGGCAGGCATCAGTTGTGGCAGCGGTGTGCTGGGTACTCCTGGCAAGGTCATCTCATCAAGACCCATGCTCACAGTGGCTTCAAAATGATCGCGGCGGGATCGCAAGGTTCCGGAACCCGCGGGGGATGGCGACTTCCATGGAACCTGCATCCGAGGAGCTTCCCCTTCCACATCTTCCATGGTCAAAGGCGCAGGTGGCACAAAGTGGGCGCGATCACGCAAAGAGGGGCGATCGCTGCGCTCGTTCTCGTAGAGCCCTGGATGAGGTCCTCCGGGATGTCCTCCGGGATGTCCTGGCTGCGCCAGGTCAGGTCGGTCATAGTAGAACTTGTTGCAGTTCTTCTCAGGGCGAGCTGCATCTCTCATGGCTTGAGATATCACTACTGCGCCTTGTGCAGCTTGGGAAAGATTTGGTGCCAGGTTGGTGGGCGGAATCATGCCCATATTGCACTTGGGAGCAGGTGCCACAGGCACTTGCATCAACGGCTGCTGATGAGTGGATTGATAGCTTGCCACCACCTGAGCACCTTTTCCATGACCATGTTGACCATGTTGACCATGTTGACCATGCTGATTTTGAGGCTGAACATTGGGAGTTGGACCACCGAGTGGACCAACTGGACCAGCTGGACCCACCACATAGCCATGGCCTTGCAAACGTACATGGCAAATGTCCTTCAATTTTGGATCCTGCAGGAGTTCTGAGAGCTTGGAATGTCCCAAGGCGGTTTCGCTGAGCTCAGTATGGTACCGAGAGCGGAACAAACGCTTCACGTTGGACAAAGGGATCGTGCTGGTCCCTGGGCTCAAACTGACGAGAATCTCCCGAAGCCCAGTCTTCACCTGAGCACAAACACGAACAAACACGATGTGGGCAGTGGAATTGGGGTGACAATTTGACAATGCATGCAGTACCTTCTCTGTTTCAACTCCTCAGTCTATTGAACATGTCCATGGGTTTCGTCACATGTTGGGTCACATCAAACTGGTTTACCTTCTTTTTGAAAAACTATGTCAATCTAAACCGCACCAGCATAGGCCAATATATAGTGTCTGTGTAGGTCTTTTCTCGCCGGGTTGCTCTGCGAGCGGTTTGCTGTGAGATCCATCACAAAAGGAACACAAACATGACGACAGGACGACAGGCATAACTTAGAAACTTAGACACAAGGGAATTAACTTAGATATAACTTAACACAAAGTTGGGAAACAAACTTGGACAGGGCAGCCAAGAGCAGCCTAAGTCACAATGCACCAAGGCACCAAGGCAACAAAAAGAAGAGACAAAAGGGAGACAGCCCGGGAGACAAGGAAGCAGACGTTGCCAAGAGCAGCCAATCCACCAAGCCAGGAAGGCAAAATGGGACACAAGCGAGATGGCAGTTGCAGCCAAGAACCAACGACAGTTATGAAGGCAAAACAGAACAGGACAAAAGGCCCGGAGAGGGGAGCGTGGTGGTGTCACTACTTGGGTGAAACTACCATGCGGGAATTGACCCGGTACAAATACTTCCTATGACGTGAACATGATTGGGCAAGGTCAAAACGCTTTGCCTTTTGAGGAAGTTGTCGGGTTGTAAGGATATGGTTGAGAGTCCTGCTTTTAGGGGCGCTTTTGAGAACCCTTGTGAGCTGGTCAGTCTAACTTTTGGATACTTTTGGCTCCCTTTTTCGTTGAGGCTTGTTGAGATGAGAATTTGTGAGAGTTGGCTCACTTACCGAATGACGCAAGTCGACGTTGAGTTGTGCGGTTCCAGGGGATTTCCTACAGGCGACTCCTTTTCCAGAAGTTCCACAACATAGACAAAAGGCACTTCCGGCAGCCATAAGTGTAGTAATATATGTTTAGATATGTTTAGTATCAAATTATAGAAATTATACTATCGATATTTATGTTTAGTATATTAATATGTTGTTTATCAATATTTGATAAGATTCATATTAGTCATATGGGGGTTGCCTAAAAGAGGGCTACCCCAAATCATCCAAGTCATTAGATCATTTTAGCATTGAAACCCATGGTGACTTGGGGTACCCCCATTTTAGGAAACCCGTATAGCCATATGGATTTTGAAAGGTTTTGACTGCAACATTCGAAGTGGCCTTGTCCCAGTCCGCCAAGTCAGAACTGCTGCGTGTGGTGTTGGTGCATGGCCTCTGCTTCTCTGCACAGCGCTCCTGCCCGGTGACGATTGGCATCCAAAAAAATGGTAAAATCAAGGAACAAACATGTTAAATAGACGTAAAAATGATGTTCATGGTTCAAAGATAAAATGAGAATCCAGTGGTTTAGCACCTCAAATTTCTGTTTTAAATTTGGAATTTGGGGCGATGATGTGCACCCATTTCTGAACAAACCCATTTCGAGTATGGGTATATACAGGCGTTATCACCCCCCAAAAGGGATTGTTTCAGATTTCAGAAACGATGAATGTTGTGGGTCCATTCAATAGTGGAACCATCGGGATAGTGAACATCCAAAACTAGTGCTTCTTTCGGACCAGGGATTTGACACTGACATATCTGAACACTCATAGCCATCATAGTCGATAGTCCATCATAGTCCACATCATCGATGTCCAGAGTCCAGAGTCAATGTCAATGCGACTGACTTTTCACCGGTGCCCAAAAAAAAACGGTGCCTTGATCATGGACTGAGAGCGCTTGTATGGAACCACCGCACCATTCAAATAGCCCAGTAGCTTCCTGGGCATGGCGCCGGGCAGGGTGCAGCCGTCTGCTGGGAAATGACAGGAAGAGTGACTTAAAGTGTGTAGTCAGTGAAAATCTGACAGTCTAAGAATGTCTAAGATAATGATAGGATATCAGAATATCAGGATATTTTAAACATCCTTAAACGACAGGTGGGATAAAATTGACGCAATCTTACCAAGTTTCTTTTGGGAGATGGCCAATTGCACGATGTGACACACCTGCCCCAAGGATCGCTTGTGTAAGAAGTCCAGACCCCGTGATACGAGAGCTTGTGCACACGAGTATCGCCCTCCTGGAAGAACCATGTGCGCATCATCCAAACTCTCAAAGTAGTCTTCTGCGGCTTGCCACATCCTCGCACATTCAAAAAACAATCGCATTCAGAAATTCCCTTGCCATTCCATCGCCTTCCGTACTTTAAAAAAATTACTCAAATGACTCAAATCCTTTAAAAGTACAAAACAATTCCATTTCCAAGCATCTTCAAAGGATAGGAGTCTTGTGGACTGTAAACATCGACAAAGGCATTGTGAAAGGGGCGGTTCTGAAGAAGAGCCGACCAATCACCACCTTCTTCTGCTTGCACGAAGATCCATGGGCAAGTGTCACAAACACTCTTCAAACCTCAGCAAAAACGAAACGAATTTGCAACTTTCAATGTCCAGAATCAAAGAACCGACATTGAATGATTCTGAAATCGATAATGATAATAATAACAAGGATGAATCATAGTCAGTGCAAAATCAGCCGTGGAAATGGACTCTGTTCTGACGTGGATTTGACATGGGACGTTTGATGTCAACGTCCAAATTCGCATAGCCCATTGTGGCAGCCTTCTCGGCCAACCTCTTTCGCAAGATTCGGCCGTAAGGTTTCAACTCATCCGCGTACAAACTTTCAACGGCAGTGGTCACTTCGTGCATGTCCAAAGCGTTAAAAGGTTGAGACTCCTGGCACCAGGGAACGTGAACCATGCAATAAGAGATGATGGAAAAGGTCCAAATGCTCCAATAAAAATGTCCGAGTGAGATGATTATTGGATGTGTTGGGTTATGACAACTGCACCGACAGCAATACATTATGAATGCAATACACTGCTGCAATTGAGATTCCTTATTTTGACGCGGCCAAGGCTGCATGGGTTGACATATCACCGGTTGACACGATTGATGCACGTTCTGCACGTTCTGCACGTTTTGCACGTTTTGCACGTTCTGCACGTTCTGGTGGTTCGAGTGCATGCCTTGTGGCACGGGCACCTGCACGTGCGGCATGGGGCCAGCGGCAGCAGGCATTCCATTGGTCGTGGGCCAGGCTCTGCTGTAGCTCATCATGTCCATGGATTCGTTCAAATTGTTGGGTTTCGGGCCAAAATGGCTCCAAGTGTCAGAACTTCAAAACGCATCACAGTTGGAAAAAAACAATGACACAACATCCACCACAATCTCCACATTATTTTTTTCTACGAAGGCTGTAGCCTGGAAATTTGTGGCTGTCAGAAAAAAAATCAATTGCGTGGCCTAAACTGTAGAGGTAAAAATGTGTGTTTTTTTCGCAGCTGTGGAATACATCTACGGTCCTTTCTGATTGTATTGTCTGATCTATTTTTTTTGAAAGTTCTAAGGACTAAATTTACACCATTTTATATTGGGGCAGAATTTTATTCATCAGACCCGTTCAAAACAGGTGCACTTTTCTTTTACCAAGTTGGCTGGTCTCAAAGCCTTTCTTAGGCTGCAGGGTTGGGCTTCCATATGTGACGGCAAGTCAAGTGTATGAAGTAGTCTGCAAGACAGGTGGTTGCCGGGGAGGATGGTGGTTGTCGAGAAAAACACGTGGCTGATCCCGCCCACCTTCCCTTGAGAGGAACGTTGCATCGCAGGCGCAATGCATCTGATATCATAAAGTGTTGTCACAAGTGACATGCACATTATTCATCAGACCCGTTCAAGACAGCTGCACTCTTCTTTTACCAAGTTGGCTGGTCTCAAAGCCCTTCTCCCCATCTTCAAGAATCTTGTAGATCAGCAAGTCAGCAACCTCCTTGGCTTTTGTTGAAACGTTGAAGGCGTTGTCAAAGAAAGGCAAGCTGGTGTCATTTCTTGAAGGAGGGTCTGCTATGTTGCTCTTGGACGGCACCCTGGCTAACCATGAAAATGCATGCACCAACAACTCATATTCAGCAAAATATCCAGCAAGGAGGTCAACTATGTCATTGTCAAAGGATACCTTAAGGAGCGAAAATTTGGTACCTTCGTTGTCCACAAACAAGACACAGCGGCGTCCCGCAAAGAAAAATTGCCATAAAGCAAAGGCTGTCACTGCTGCAAGGGTCTCAGCTTCCAAAATTATCTGTTTCTTCCTTTTCTCACCCAACACAGTCCTACCATGCAAATCAACCGGCAAGGAAAAGTATTGGAATCCTTCAGAGCTGCACAACACGCCCCCAATGCCACATGGCCAAATCTCAACGTCCCCTCACTGCAGAAAAAGAGGCACATGCACTGGGTATTTCCAGTGTTCAAACAGTAGTCAGCACATTGGAAACCGAAATGAGAGCTAAACACTAATCCAGAGCGTGCTAGCTTGTGAGGTTCACACAGTGATCGAATTAACTATCTAAATAAACTGTACAACAAAAGACCGCTTCTGCTCAGACGCCTCTCAGATGTGCTTTGTCTGGTCATCATGAAAGTAGACATCGAAGAGCCAATGGTTGATGGCAGACGGAAGTTGAGGAACGTGGCTTCAGCCCCCCAAAAAGGGGGGCACCATGATCACTAACTGCACTTGGAAAGGCTATGCTAGCCAGGGGTAGCCTTGGACGAAGAGCCGATAGGCATCATCACCGGCAGTATGATGCAGCGACACCATTGGGTAATAAGTGCTTGATATGGCTGCAGTCCTCAACAAAGGAGGATACCAAAATCAGCCAGTGTTTCACGTACACATCAGCGGGACCAAGCTGACCTGCTTAGTCGTATCCCTAGGTGGCTAGATGGCCATCAGCTGTGCATCTTCTCAAGGCCGGCATCTGTGCACCCACAATGTCAAAATAAAACTATCCGGCGCAAGTGGTCAGCACCACGATTGCACTGTGCGGCCTCAATGATGTTATTCGCAGATGCTTGAGCACAGCTGTCGCTAAGGTACAGAACCCCATGATGAAAGCCGGTAGCGCAAGGTGAAAGGTGGTCAAGCAGCAGTCGTAAGAGGTGGTAGTGGAAAGGCAATTGCTTTTCCACGATAAAAGCTCATAGTCGGACCTCCGAGCTGATGCAAGCAGTTCAAGCACAACTAGATGATCTTCGCATCAAGTAGGTGATCGCTACTCATGTGCAGCACGAGGTCGATGGAGGTGTTGAAACAGCAAAAAGTCCAGGTCAGGTGTCAATAGATCTGCGCAAGACAGAGTGCCTGGGAAGTGTCATTGCAAGCAGTGGCAAAACAAAGGCGCGGGACACCATGTGTGCAGGCTTTGCTGCTACACGGGCGCACTGAGAGATCCACAGCAGGACAAAGCACTGGTCACCTGCTCAATGACCAGGGCAAGGTACTGCTGGATCACCGTCAGTTCCATGGCGCGGGCCGGCTACGCAAGCACCCCCAACCAGCAGCACCTCCCCAGCAATGGCCGTGGTGCAATCAGAGGGGATAATGATGGTCCTAGCCCCTGAGGAGAATGACAATAAACAGGCAAATGGGAATATCATTAAGAGCCAGCGGAGACCTTAACTGCGCTGAGCCCCGCACTGTACGGCAGCCTGAGTTCTGGTACTGGCCTGGGATGCAATCGTGATGGAGTGACATGCTGCGCCAGGCAACAGCACATCACAATCTACCTGCAGTTCTAGGATGGTAACCTGACAGTCAGTCCTGAGTAGCACATGCATGATGAGAAACAATAGAAAACGCAAAGAGAGGGAAAAGCACCAAACGGACACAACAAGAGCAAGGAACAAAGCAACCAAACAGGACAGAGAGACAGGGACAACAACGGCAGGAGGGCCCGGGACAATAGTGGTGGGGTCGCAAGTGCATCAGGTGCACAAGTGCGCATACCATCCCTGCGAAGACAGGAGGGGGGACAAGGGCAATCCACATGGTGTAGAGGGACAAAGTCCCCACACAGGACCAAAGCCTTTGGTGCCATGCCTCATGAACCGAGCCCATGCACCTCTGCCCGCAACAGGTGGCACAGAACACAAGCCACTTAGGCCTACTTAAGGGGCACAGATGACGAGGGAGCCACACCGACCGGACCAATCCGGCAGATGAAACACTGCACAGTTGGGGGGCAGATCACCCCGAAAGGGTGCCGCTCCACCACATGACACTGGATCAGCACACCGCACGGGGAGGGGTGGAAGAGGGCCGGGGGAGGAGGAAAGGCCACAAACGCCGAGAAACACAGAGGGACAAGAAACAAAGGCCAGGGAACCAAAAAACCAGAAAAGGAAGCAGGGAACAAGGACAAAAAACAAACCAACAACAACAAAACCACCAAGCATGCGATACCAGGCAACTGTCTACCCAACATGCAGCGGCCTTATAGTATCAGGTAGAGGGAGCAGCTAGATCCATTGTTATTAAGTAGACCTGGAGTTACGTAGACGTTCAGGTCAATTGAGACTGATCAGGGTGCTTGCTAAGCTATCATTACATTGTTATTTCATTGCCGGACACCGCTATACCAGTCAGCTGTGCCTGGTTTTGCGCACTGAACCTGTCTGGTGGGGGACAGATCCCAGCACTTAGGACCTGGGGTGAGGCAGAAAAAGCGGAGAGACGCCCTGAAAAAACACATTAAAATCACGTCCAACACGTCAATGAAGATACAATTCGGTGCAGGATCAAGAGTCAAATCTCAAAGTCGAATGAAGACCCGACTCCAAAACAATGCAAAAAGAGAGCAGCCACCGTCCAATCCAGGGACGGTAACGTACTCAAACCTGAGCTACACACTAAGGTCACGGCAGTGGGAGGTGCCTCCGCCCAATCCAGGGGCGGCGACACCTCGCAGGCAGATCGAAGGCAAAAGCCACCGAAACAGCCAATCATGCAACACGGGGCCGCTCAGGAAAGAGGACATGCACAGGGTGAAACGAGCGGGACAGCAACATGGGGGAAGCCCGAGTTGCGGATCCAAGTGTGGATGCAATGGCGCTGAACTGGAGTTTGCTGAGATTGAACATGAGCATGAGCTCGCAGTTGACCCCGAGTTGCGAATCCATAGGTGGGTGCAATGGTGCTGAACTGGAGTTTGCTGACATGGAGCACGAACTTGCGGTTGATTGCAAGGATTCTGAATTTGAAGAAGCTGACATGAGTTGTGGACTGGCAAGAAGTTGCGACAGTTGTGCTCATGAGCCATGGTTTTGTGGTTTGAAGTCTGGACATGAAGTTGAACTTGGTGATAGTTCCAGCTTGAGAGCATGTTGTGATGATGCTCTGAGCCGAGACTTGTGTGCGTCCGTACCTAGGAAAGTTGTTTTGGTGCGTGCATGTGGTTGGTTTGATGACCACAGTGAAGTTTCGGTTGAGCAACAGGTTGAACCTTATTTGAAGTTTTTGCGGCCTCTGCTTTCACAGGTCGCTGACAACACCGATGCTTCTTGGTGGCTTCTTGACTCTGGTGCATCTACAAGTGTTTTGGCTGAGTCAAACTTGTCAGCCTTCAGGTCAGTGCTGCAGGACAGTGAAGGGTTAGGTGGCTATCAGTCAACATGTCAGGCACTGCTGAGATTGGAGTACAGATGCACATGTCAGGCCCATCAGGTGATGGTTGGTGTTGGAAGAAAGCACGTTTGAATGTTTTGGTGGGTTCCATCCGGCACAACATTTTGTCAAGTACCTCATTGGCAGATTCGGGATGGAGATTCACACAAGGTCCAAAAGGTTTTGATTTGTTTCACGAAAAGCTTGGAATGCATTGTCTTGATGTTGTTTATTTTGCCAATTGTCCTTGGGTTCGTTTGTATCCAGATGTTGGTAGTATCCCCAGTGGACATGGCGGGTCTGGTAGGAATGGCACAAACACTGGCAGTCTTCCATGCAGGCTATCTCACCCTGCGAGCGACACAAGAGTCCCGCGATACCAACTGAGCCACGAGGACGACTACTGCCAGCACCAGGCCACAGGCCCAAATTGACAATTTCCCGGAAAGATAAATTTGCAAAGCTCTTCACTGCCATTGCAGCAGAGCTGTGGTTGAGAGGGTGCTCTGAGGCCATTGACAGGACCTTCCAGCGGGTCGCACGGAGTGTCACGATGTGTCTCGCGGAACAACTGGCTACACATTGGCTCGCTCATGCGACATGCTGCTGAATTTGTTGTCA